CCACAATAATAATTCAGACATCATATGATCTTAGTTCTGAAATGTGTGATAAACTAACACTCAGTTCAGATTAACTGAATATTGGACATAGCTACACAATACTAATTTTCATTAGTTAACTGGATTATATTCCCAACCAAGACAATTTCATCCTTAAACATCACCACCATGTAACACAATTTATTTTAAACCTTGTCCCATCTCATCTATAAACACATGGTGACTATACATTTCAGTATATTCACAGAATGTTTGCTTAAAGTCCAAATTCATGCTAAAATCACCATTAAATATATTCATGCAACAGTCAGTTCTGATTTTGTCCTGCTTCTTGTTACAGCTTTACTAATAGTAACAGTCCAGGGGGTAGTTTCAGTTTGCGCGAGAATGAGCAAATAAATGCTATCAGTTAGTTGCAAACTTGTATATATAAATATATTTTGGTATTATCTTATTTGGCATTCCTTGAAACTCTTAAAAGCATCAATTAGTGTCTATTGTACTGTCCATATCATAGGGGAAGAATAGTAAGTTATGAATAATCATCTTGAAGACATTTTATATATGTGCTAGAATAGTATGGAATTTACAGTTAAACACATGTCTAATAGGAAACCAAATTCTTCTTTCAAGCAAACCACTGAAGAAGAATTTAAGGAAGATTGCAAAATAAGGCTTACTTTCACTGCAGCAATAAGACGAATGTAGTCACTAAGCAGTTCTGAAAACATATAAAAGTCAGCAAAAGCTTGTTCTTGATGTAACTGGTCTATCTTCTCCTCAACCTCTGCAAGCTGAGACAAAGCTCTAGATAAAGCAGTATGGTCCTCTGAGTTCCCTAACATGGCAGCACTTTTAGCAAAGGCAGCTGTGTTGGCTGAAAGTTCTGAAATAAAAAAGCATTCACTTTAGTGTTCACTAGTAAAGTTCTAAAATATTGCATTGATTTTCTATCTTCTCTTAAATTTTATCTGTTCATAAATTGCTAAATAGTATTTTAAAATAATTAACACAAAACAACCAGTCATTAAAATAAAATGCCTTGGGCATAAAGGCCAACTGCTCAGAGCTTTACTGAAAATTAAGAACCAGGGCCTCTATTCCCAAGGAATGAAAGATATTTAAAATAATTATGTGCCTCCACTCTTCCCCTAAAGTATTCACTCTTTCTCTGCCCCTTAAAAATATATTTTTTAATGCCACACCTGAAATTGACTTACACTACATTCTCTGACTTCTAAATATTTATTTGCCATTGAAAACAATGTCTGATTTTTATGAGAATACTACTTCAACTAACAGGAGGAAAATAAGGGAAACTGTACACACAATTCATGTAACTTATTTTTCCTGTATTTCCAACAAGTGTTTACTAAATATTAAAAATTTTTAAAAGTATTTTTGCATGCCATCATTTCTGATACTTCAAATGAGGAAAAACATGTTTTTAGGCAGGATACTGTCAATGACTAATGATTTCATTGCCTATAAACTGCTCTATTGCTCTGCATTACGAAAAGTTCTCTAGAAGAGCCTTAAAGCTGTTTCTTAAGAGATATAATACAAATGACAAACGCAAAGGATACTTTTAATAATAAATATATTCAATTTCTATAATGATTTTAATGAGAGGTATTGCTGTTAATGGCATATACAAAATCACTTATTAAGTTTTTAAGAAAGCCAGTCTGAAACATCTTGAATTCTTTAAAAATAAAAAACACAAAAACTCTCACTGGAATTAAAAAATTATGACTCTAATTTTTCTATGAACTTTTAACAAAAAAAATAAAAACTTTTTAGATTTTAAATACCGTGGTTCAAAAATAAACCGAATATTCTAGGAAATATTTAAACAAGTATTTTAAAGGAAATTTTCAAATATCAATTTTTAATCTCTTTTTTTTTATTCTAAACAGTTACTAGTAAGACATCTGCATTCATTCTACTGTATGTACGTTTAATAAAGAGTTAATCAAGAGAACAGTTTTGATCCAAAATATAACATGCTTTTACAGACTTGAAATTTTTCTACTTACAAACCCAGATTAAAGTAATAAAAATAAAATAACAAAGTTTAAAAAGAAAATACTCTCAAACTATTGTTTTCTGTCTTTTAGAGTAACTTCAGAATATTTACTTTCAAATAAAATGTAAACAAAGTATTCTAATTAACTTACAATGTCAAAAACATAAAGAACAAGGTAAACAAACCTTTTCTATGACAGACCAAGGCTTCAACACTGGCATGAAGTTTCCTAAGTTGCTGATCCAGATTTTCAAATTGCTGTTGCTTTTCTTCAAACCACTGAGAAAAAAAAATGAAAAATGGAGCTAATTTAGCCAGAACAAACCATTGTAAATTAGGTTACCAATAGCAAGCTACATTCCTTGTTTTAAAGCAACAAATTAACCATGTATAACCATGGTGGTCAACTGATGTGGCAGAGAACTGAACTCAATAAGCAAATTAATATCCTATTTTCTACTTGCACAGCTTTAAAATGCAATTGTTGGGCTCATTAATTCATCTCATTATTCAAGTCGAAAAATCAGCTCTTACTGCATCCGATTCATTCATCTTGATTGTCATTTTGTTGACAGCGTCGGCAGCCTTGTTCACCATCCTCAATATTCCTGCTCCACTCAGAGCCTGTGTATTAACTGCTCTAGGCAGCTGGAATTGAATGACAAATAAGGGCAAACAAACCGGTTAAAAGCCTGGAGGTTTAACAGGGCACAAAAGGGTCTGCCCTCCCCACCAAGGGAAAAAAAAAGGAAGAAGAAAAGGAAAAGGAAAGGAAAAAAGGAGGTTGTGTTTTCTTCACTCTCATACATTTCAATAGTGAAATCTAATTTCTCAAATACACTACTTGTACATTCTCAAAGGAAAACTTAAAAAATAGACTTTCCATTTGCTTTTCTTCTGCATGTTTACATTTAGATGGAACAACACACTCTTTGTCAAAATATATTAAGAAATTGCCAAGCACCTAAACACTGGCCACCTGTTTGCCAGCAGAAATAAGCTGTTTGTAAGGAAAGAGAGAATCTTGAGAAAAATCTCCCCAGACTCATTTAGATATGTTATTTTAGATTTTTAAAAAAAAATCTACAAGTCAAGTAAATTTTAAAAATCTAACAAACAGAATTCTAAACTGTTAAGAACCAAAGTATGCCAAACATCAAACATAAAAAGCAATATGGTTAAAATTTACGCTCTTTCAAAGTCACAAATTTGCATTTCAAAGCCTTAATGTCTGAATGCAGACATACAAACATTCAACTATCTCTAAAAAGAGGTCTAAATATACTTAAATTTCAACATGCCTAAGCAACAACTTAGAGCTTTCAGAATTAGACTACATACCATTCTTTTTAAAACAGTTTAAAATCTGATTCTGAACTTTTAAGATAGAGAGTGCAAACATCCTATAATTATCAATGCAAAGAAGGTATTTTGCTGGTAATTTAGTTAACTAATTAAAGTCAATTATACCACTGAGCAAAAAAGAAATCACTGCTTATTCCATCTATTAATCCAGTTATTTACTGATCATCTATTACATACAAATTATTAACAAACATAAATGAGGACATTTATATACAACAATTTAAAGTAGACATAATACCTCTGAACTTTCCAAGAACTGCCTTAAATCAGGATCCTGTAGCAAAGTTGGATGCTTTACTGTTCTTTGAAGATACCTAGATTTAAGATTAAAATTGCTCCTTTATTAACCAGTAGCATATTACTTTAAATATTATTTTAACAAAAAAATAATAATAAAAAGGTATCCTCAGTAAAAAATCAACATGGTGTCCTCAGTCTGCCTTCTCTCTATTTAGAATCTTAGAGCAATTTAATGATCAAAAATCTTCTTGTTCATCTTTTTAAAATTCGTAATTAGGTAAAAAGAAATGAGGGAACATACTGGGAGAGTGAGGAGGGGCTAAGCAACCTGCCAACTTCATACTGCAAGCATTAAGAGTTGTGAAAGGGTATATGAGTCAGACGGTTTTACTGTTGGGTGGAGTCAATACATTCCCCTTTACTACTTCTAAGTCCTAAGAAACATCACTATACATGTTGCAGTCAACTATTATTTTTATTGCTGCTATTTCCAAAATGAAGAAAGGCCTAGCATTTTATTTCTTTATTAGCAGATTTAAACTATGAAATGAGCATTTTCTTTTGATAATTTTCTTAAATATTTCTGTTAAGGTGTTGATATTTTTGATAAATATTCTCCTTATATGACAGCACATAAAATAAAAACAAAAACAGAAACACCATTATTAAATCACTTTTAGCCCAATTTTAATCATTTCTCTTTACTATAAAACTATCATTTCCCTATTATCCAGAACAAATTATCAATTACTTCTTCATAAAAAGAAAACAGGTCCACTATTTTGATGATTATATTACTTATCTAATACCCATTTTAATTGTTAATTTTCCTCAGATTATTATATGCAGTGATAAATCAAATATAATGCTTTACACCTCACGGTTAACATACCTTTATTCTATTTCTGCAGAATAAATGCAGCCAGTATGTTCTTACACCTTTTTACAAGACAGTAAAATATAACTGAAATAGTTTCTGAAAAAATTCTATATAATTATTATATAGAATAATATATAATTATTATATTTTTATAATTTATATTATTATTGCTGCTTAAATGTTATTATTATTATTTTGCTGCTTAAATGTTAACTTCTGCACATTTAAATAATATACATAATATATTAAATTTCATTGTAATTCATTAGTCCACATAAGAAGCCATTATAATAGAAATAAAGCATATGTTATGAACAACACAATCTACTCTGCCTGTATTTCCTGCTTTTGTTATCTAGCTAAAAATTAGATGCAGTAAGAATAGCAATCCTTTAAGTTTACGAAATGTTAGTCTTTCTTCAAAGGAGTCTTAAAAATTTTAACCTGGAAGTTCTCTAGTACTAGCAGGTAAGTGAATTCATCGTGTAGACTGCATGCTGCTTCAAGCAGTTTGCACAAAATGTGTATCTCTGTGCACCAACAGCTGGTAAATAGCAACCACTCAAACATTTGTAAATGAGCAAACAGGAAGAAACACCCAATCTTTAAGAAAGATTCCAATATTTCAAACCAAGAAGGAAATATTTAATACTATTTACATTCTAAAAGAGCTTTCCAAAGTGTGTTCTGCAGAATACTAGACTCATCAATATTCCATGAAAAGACTGGTCCTACAAGCAAGGAAGTTGGAAAAGTATTTTTTTTAAAGATTTATTTATTTATTTATACAAGCACTGGGTACAGTCAGAAGCGCAGGAGGGTGAGAGAATTCACCAGAGCCAGATTGGGGAGCAGAACAGGCAGAAGGACCGAAGTACACTGCTGAGGGGAGCAGCGGGTGGCAGGAGAGGTCTGCACGCCATGTGGGACCCTCACCCAGTGGCCGGGGAGCAGCTGGGGATCGAACCGGCGCTGCAGAGGCTGCAGGCAGCTTCGCAACCCAGCGCTCAACAGCTGCGCCACCGGGGAGGCTCAGTATTATACTTTTAATTCATAATAAACAGAAGCATAAGGGTTTTAAGTTCCTCAGGAAGTAAACCTGGTTTCAACCAGGCTTAACTTCGTTAAATTCAATTTTTTTTTTTAAAGATTTACTTCTTTGTGCACACAGGAGCTGGGGTACAGGCCAGAGTTGTGGGGGGTGAGAGGATTCACCAGAGACAGAGTAGGGAACAGAACAGGCAGACTGACCAAAGTACACTGCTGAGGAGAGCAGCAGGCGAGTCAGGGGAGGTCTGCTGCACCATGCAGGTTTCTCCCGGGCCGGCCGGGGATCGAACTCATGCTGCAGTGGCTGCAGATTGCTTCATAGGTTGCGTCTTAATCCCCTGAGCCACCAAGGGAGACCCGTTAAGTTCAATGTTAATAAAACTCAACTGATCACAGATTTTCTTTCACCCTACCACCACAATTACATGTGGTGCTATATCAATTACAATATTTTTACCTCACATTCAGTACATTTTTATTCTATTTTTTTCTACAATATACTAGCAATCTGAATAACCAATTTTGGGGAATGATATTCTAGGGGAAAAAAAGTAAAACTTTTTCTCTTTTTAAGGGTTACATGGAAATAAAGAGCAACTAAGCATTCAAAAATAAGTATTAAGCTCATATAATGTTAGAATTAAGAACAGAAACTTTAAAATGGGTTATAAATTAATATTTGTAATAGATACCAATTCAGAATTAAGGTCAGAAAGGAGTACAGATACATCAAAGGAGGATACAGAACAACAACAAAAGAATGCAGGACATGAAAAGTGGTGCTGGACCTCCCTGGTGGCGCAAGGGGTTAAGACACAACCTATGAAGCCATCTGCAGTCACTGCAAGCACGAGTTCGATCCTGGCCAGGGAGCAACCCACATGGTGCAGCAGACCTCTCCTGACTCACCCAATGCTCCCCTTAGCAGTGTATTTCAGTCAACCTGCCTGCTCTGTTCCCCACTCTGTCTCTGGTGAATCCTCTCATCTCCCACACCACTGGCCTGTACCCCAGTTCTTGTATGCATAAATAAATAAATCTTAAAAAAAAAAAAAAGTGGTGTAGGGATGATCAGAAACACTGAAGGAAGACAGAAGTGGAACTGACAAAAAAGTTCAGTATGATGCTCAACAAGAGGTGGTCATCAACAAGAGGTGGTCAGTAATTGTTCCTGGGATCCACCTGAAGGATAAACTTAGAAGACTGGGGGCTTTCCAGTTCCTATGTATTTTTTAACAAAAATGAAACAAAGGAAAGGTGTTTATATAAAATGTTCAAGGGAACAAAGTTAAAAAATGTTGCTCATAAAATTCACACACATGTGCAAACAGTGAAAACATAGAAAGGCAGAAAAGTCAGGGTCTTTGATGACATTCGTTTGTTTATTTAACAAATATTTATAGTGTGTTTATAAAACATCAGGTACTGTTTTGTGCTCAGAATCTATCAGTGAGCAGGAGAATAAGATCCCATCCTTACTGGAGCTTGTATTTTAGTAAGAGAAGATAGAAAATAAACTAATAACATAATACCAAGTAATTATGTAGTAAGCGATAAGATGACAAACGCTGTGGGAAAAAGTAAAGAGTAGAGGAAACTGGATGAAATGTATAAAGTGTGGGTCATGGCAACTTAAATATATCAGAATAAGCTTCACTAGAAAGGTAATGTTTGAACATTTGAAGTTCAAAGAAGTATTCAAAGAGGTTAAGGAGTTAGTCAAGCAGACACCTCGGAACAAAGTTCTCTAGGCAGGAGGATGGCCAATATAAGAACCTAAGTTGGGAAGATTCCTGGGATCTTTGAGCAGCAGCAAAATATAAAGAGTCAGTGCAGCCGAGTGCAGAGCTATCAGCACAGGAGATCAAACAAGTGCAACAGTGAACAGTGCGCCTCACATCAGGTTTTGTAGGGAACTATAAGCACTAGCTTTTATTGAGTGAAACTGGAGAGAGGTTGGATATGATCTGTTGTTTTGATTTAAACTTTAAAAGGAGACTTTGGCTGCCTATTTAAAAAACAGTATAGGTGCAAGGATGGAAATAAGGACCAGTTAGGAAGCTACTATTGTTAATCCAAACTTCCTGATATGAAAGAATGGATTAATTGATCTACATTAACTATTTAGGCCTTGTTTAGGTGTTTACAATGAACACAATCCTAATGACACACTTAATATTTCACGGGTAAAGAATGAACCTAAGTTAAATAACTTGCCCAAGGTCATTTAGATAAATGTGTAGTATACAGTGGAATATACTCTCCAACAGAATAGGCACTGTAAATCCCTATACACAATATTATCCTACTTTCTATTTCTCAGTTTGTAACTGCAGAAGTGTATCCTTACCCTCTCCAGAAAAACCACACAAGCATTTTAAGGCTACTTTTAATTAGAAGTAGTTTCTGCTAACTTTAAATGTGGCACAGGGTACTTGGGTTCTTAACCACTGCTTTCCTTCTTCCTATATTTAAATATAACATATTTATTCTTTCATCCAAGATAGTCATTCTAAGTTGAACGAATGGTATGTACATGAGTAGCATAGTATCCTACAAAGAGAAAATGTCCTTGATCCACCAGATCCAACTAGGTTAGGTATCCCTCAGGAATGTCTGTGCTAGTGTTTAAATTTTGTAAACCACCACAGAAAAATCACTATATAAAAATCATTTTAGTTCCTTTGCTTTTATGCCATTAAGCCTGTATTTTCTTTAGTCATCTTTTCTAATGCTAAATGAACTTGTCCACATATTATGCAGTTTCTTTTTTTCCCCCCATTATTGCATATTCCACGAATGTAGCATTAACTATTAATATTTATCAGTAAGAAATAGTCTTTACACATGCACTAG